GAAATGAGATTGGAGTTGTTAGTGATGGGGAGGTGTCTGGTGTTCCCGTTGCTGGTATGCCTGTGCCTGATGTTCCTGTGGTTTCTGTGGTGAAGCCTGTTGTGACCTTTCAAACCCCGGTATGGCACACTAGGATGTCAACACTCAAAGGTGGTGAGCAGTTGCAGGGGGACTCGGGGACGAGTGCGGGGATGTTTGATGCGAGGGAAGGTGTTGCGTCTAAGTGTGATGTGGCTGCGTTGGATCGTGCCGAACAAATGGATGTTGACGTTTTCCACCACCGCGCTGGCTACTTTCCCGAACCCGTTGTGAGTTTGACTGCCAAGCATCAAGGGAACAACCTCCCCAGGGAGTTGGGACCCGGGGCCATCGCCGCTTCGCCGCCCGCTGTCACCGCTGCGCCTTGGCCTGCAGCCGCCGCCGCCGCACCGTCGCCGCTGCCGCCAAGCCCCGGGGCCGCCGGGCCGCCTGCATCCTCCCCGGATGCCGCCGCGCTGCCGGACCCGCGGATGACTACGACGAGGACTGCCGCCGCGCTGCCGGACCCGCGGATGACTGCGACGAGGACTACCACCGCTCCGCTACCCGCCGCTGTTACCGCCGCCGTGCCGTTGCCGACACGCAAATCGGTGCCGACCTCCGAGGCCGATGGACCACATCCATCTCCGACGGCGCGTATTGAACGGCAAGCCGATGATTCGGCCTGGGATGATAGGGACCGGTGAGCTGGGGGAAGGCGAGCTTGGGGGCGACGAGATGGAGGGCGGTAGAGAACAGGATGTTTGGGAGGGGTGCATGTGGGAGATCAAAAACAACCTGCTGGGGGTCGCCCCTCCGAGCGGGGCACTCCGTTTGTGCTCGTGACGCGCCTTGCATCGCGCGACGACATCGAGTCTGATCTAACAATGTGGGTTTCGTGTTTTGTTTTGTTTTGTTTGCCTTTCTTTCTGGCAGCGCGTTCTACTATTGCACTGGTTTTTCTTTGTTTGTTGCTGTTATTATGTACATCCAGAATCATGGGGGGGGGAATGTCATGTGTGACCATGATTCTATAGGGCATGAACAGCAATCCATTTGTTTCTGTTTTTCCATATGAACAGCTACCTTTGCAGGGGGGCTGTCTACACGTTTGTTTGTTGGCGTATGGATATTCGCGGAGTGTTCTTGCATGAACTCGGAAATATAAGGGGTATGTTTCGGGATGTGACAACGGGGGGGCTGTCTACATGTTTGTTTAATTTTCTATCCATTTCTTCGCCCAAGAATTGTAATATTGTTTTGTTTGAGTTTTTGTGCCTACTCTTTGAAATTGTTTTTTCCTCAGAATTGTCCGTCGCCATTCCGATGTTTTTCTGATGCAGCACTGTGGCGCTTGTTTGGTATTTGTCTGAGAATGGTTCTGTGCTGTTGACGGTTTGAGATAATTTCCAGAGAAGAGTGCATCGCCCAGCGGGGATGGAAACCACGGGCAACGGCGGTTTAGTGACAAATGTATGCGGGTTTGTGGATCCGGAATTGTTTTCTTGTTTGGTTTTTGGTTTTGGCTTGTTTCGGCGTTCTTTCGGATTTGGTTTTGCGATTGAAATTGCACCTGCAAGAATATTTGACGGCATGAAGGCTGCGTTGAAACTGTTCAGAAAGGATCATGATGATGGAATAGGGTTATTGGTTTGAATCCTTGCGGCCATGTCGCGAAGGCCGCTACTACTATGGTTGTGCTTGCTGTTTTTGTTTTTTCCTTCTGCGTGTGGCATTGTTTTTAGGTAGAAGGCTCTATCTACGTTGTTGTCCCCTGTGTATTTGGCGCGCCTCTCCATGTACCATCGGCCAGGGGTAACCCCTCTATTTCTATAAAATGATATGTCTTCGATGCTGTTGTCAATTGTCATTGAGGAAAAATAATAAAAGAGGAAGGTGGGCCTATCTTTGTAGCACTCCATGACTCCAATGCACCTCGCGCTGTCAACCACGCAGGCAGGGCACGTAGCGATGTCACATGCTTCAAGGAGATTTTGTTTCTGAGGCAGGTTTGGTGTTGTTCCATGTTGCTGAGGTATTCTGGTTTGTAATTTCATCGTGTTTGTTGGACATTGAATTCAAGATTGGCCGATAGAAAATACTCGGAAGGGTTTTTTTGTCTGCATTAAGAAAATACTCGGAAGCGTTTTTTTGTCTGCATTATTAATGGTCTTCGTGTTGTTATGAGGATGAGGTGTTGTGGAGTCGAGCATTTTTGTGCAATCATGATTCTTGTGCTACTTGTGGATTTGAAGTATCCTCGGAAAGTGATTTGTCCCGGACGGTGTTGGATGTGTTTGCATTTGTGTTTGTTTTCATTTGTTCCTGATATAACCCATTGCAGTTGTTTCCACGATTTGAGTTTTGGATGATTTGATATTGGGAATTTGAAATTCATGAGCGACCGATGGAAATTGTTGGTGGTGTCCCTGGTTTAGTGGTTTGGAACCGATGGGAATTCCAGTCAAGTGTTTCTGGTTTAATGGTTTTTAGTGAATGTTTTTATCTTTGGAGATTCTGGATACAATGGAGACCGATGGAGATTCTGGTATTTAGTAGGTGTTTCTGGTTCGTTTTCGACCAATGGAAGTTCGAACTAGTCTCTCTGGTTGAATGGTTTATGGTTGTTGAAAGAGAATGGGAGGAGAAACGACTGTTGCACACAATGACATTGATTTCTGGAGTTTTTGGGATGGGTTTCGTGTGATGCATAATATAAGCCAGTTCGGGAATAATCTCGACAATGCAGCGAGCAGGGGGGCTGTTGGATGTACTCACAGCATTGACAGATTATTGCAACCGAGGAATGTTCCTAGAAGATGGAGTGGGGAATTTTTGGGGTTCCGCAGTTGTAGTAAATTGGGGGAATGGTGGTACCATCTTTGCCACATATTCTTGTTTTCTGGGTATGTATGCGTGTCTGCAACGGTGTTGGCCACGTGCCCTTGATTAATTCATGTTCTTTTTTCCCGGCTATCACGCCCTGGGCTATCACGCCCTGGGCTATCACGCCCGTGCCCATACTACCTATCCACCAGCTATCACGCTGCCAGGCTTTCACGCCTCTAGGCTATCACGCCATCACAACAGCTATCACAGCACCAGCGTCAACACATCAGAGCTATCACGCTCCGGAACATCATAGATGCGGCGGGTTACCACACCCGTGGGCAGTTTACTGTATTTTATCGTTGCCGGCAAACTCGCCGCGCGGTTCTTTTATTTTTGCCGTCTACAACTGCGCCGGGCGCACCAAGCCACCCAACATGGGTGAAGAAAATATCGCCTGTGCTGCAGGTAAGACAAGAATTGTAAGAAACCGGTGGGAGTCGGTGACACTATTTTTGGGTGAGGTTCTACGGTGAAGTTCCACTCTTCCTGATACCCTGCTGTTTTTGGGGAAGGTCGCATTCCAAATGGACGCCTCTCGCAATGCAACACGGGTTTACATTTCCAAGGCGTGAACTATTGGGGCCAGGTGGCTTGGGTATCTGCCTTGACATGCGAGTGATCATGAGCTGTGGTATATTGTTTGTCGTCGGTTTCGTTTGTGCGCCCTCTTCGTACAGGTGGCCATGGTGACCGCGAAGGTGGCGCTGAACGCAACGACAGGACTGAACGTTGATATCTCGGATTTCCTGAAGGACGTGAAAGATGGGTTGGTCGAGGAGCTAGTCGACCGCACTCTCGACGAGGAGGCGCCGCTTCGTGCTGTTTCGGGTGAGGACAACATGGGCGCAGATTTGCAAAGGGATACGAGGGCCTCGTACGAAGCGCTGAAGGTTTTCATGGGAAACGAGGAACCCAGGAGGCGGAAGAACGCCCGGGATGGTGATGGCTACGTAGACTTCAGGGACGAGATGAAGCGTGTCATCGACGGGAGAGGCGGGATGGTGTGGGTTCGGAACGAAATCAATCACAAGTGGCGGGAGTCGATTTCGGTTGCTGCTCCAACTAGCGTGACGCCACCCTTCGCATACATACGCATATCGGAAGCACAGTCACAGGGTGTAGGTTAGTGTAGAATCCGCGCAACACTTGATGTCGGAAATCAACAGAAAGGAATCGACGAGTGGAGAAAACGTATGCAGTAGTTTCCTGCCTTAAACTGGAGACAAAGGTACTTTGGTGAAGATGGTTAAACGCCAATGGAGTGGTGGTGGATGAAGGCCTTTAGGTCGTCGGAAGTCTCGAGGGAGGACTGCGGCAGAGTACGGGGTACGATAATGATGAGCGGTCGGACCCGTTTCTTCTTGTACCACTTGCGAAGACAATAGCGGGCACCGGCCTTGAAGGTGTGAGAATGTTGGCACATGCACGGGGTTGTCAAATACGAAAAATGCCAGGTGTCAGTTCTGGCCTGGCAAGCCGTGCCAGGCGACATCAGCAGCCTGATGCACAGTAAGTAGTAGCCATGATGAGGGCTCGCTGCCTCGGCTCTTACTGGCCTGGCTGTGCTTTTTTCTTGACGTGGATCGGTGCATCCCTGGCTACAGTGAGTGTCCTCGCACTACCGGGGGAAGGCGGATCTATTCGTCGCCCCCTTGAGTTCGGGGTGGTTTTGACTTGGGTGTGAGCTGAAACCAAGACGTTGGCTTTGTGAGGTTCATTCTGGTCCGTGTCGACCAAACGTTTTCATTGTTTCAGAAAGAATTGGGTGTCGGACGCGTAGGGTCGAAGACCTCCAGCTCATATTCAATTTCTAGTCATGTGGACACCCTGTAAAATACTGCGTCCAAAAATTGTTTGCGGCTCAGATTCCGAGTTGGGCAATGGGCTCAATTCCCTGGTTCACTGCCCCAGGCAGTCCACTCGATTGGAAGCCAGTACGCGAACGAAAGCAACGACGACTCTGTTCCAGTTGCACCGGCACTGCGCCGGAAGAGATCAGCGATGGTAACAACGAGTTTTGTAGGCAGAAAAATGAAGTGTACCCTTTTCTGTACTGCCGCTTTGGCTAGACATCTCAGATGCCCAATCTCTCAGATTCCGCAGATGAAGTAGTTGCAGGGATCAATTTCCGATGAAACAGGAATCGCTTTCCGATTCCGTCGCTTGGACAACGTAGACGAATGCACTCCTTTGCGGCTGCCCAGCCCTCCCAGCACACCCGGCATCACAGGTGCAGGTTCCCCTTCCGGAAATATCGCCTCAACGAGGCAGGAGAACACACTTCTTTTGGGATTGCTGAGCCTCGAAACTAATCCAGAGAGAGACAACAAGGCTGGCATACACTAACACGTAACTCTGACACTCCATTACGCCGGACAACGAATTAGGCGGCGCCTGCGTCCGGCATCTCTTCGTCTTCGTCGGGCGGTCCGCCGCCGGGCGGTACCTCACCATTTGCTCCGACGGCGACCCGTTCGACTTCGTCGCTCTCGGCCGACGGAGAGCGTTTTCGGCCACGTCGCCGCTCCCCCTCTTCCTCCGCCTGGCCAAGACCAAAAAGAAGCAGTACGTTTAGTCTGCATTGTTTCCAACAAATACGAAAATATGGATGGTTGTGTTGGTGTTCAATTTCCATTGTTCCTTGATTATCCAAAGTTGTATTTGTACGCTGTTTCCATTTACCATTTATCGTACGTCTTGCCTTGTTGATTGAAAAGCAACAGAAATCCGGTGCACCCAGAACGTCGTGTTGTTTTGTAGGTTGTTGGAATTATTTCGCCATGTGCCGAGTCCACTGGGGTTTCTATTCGATAACAAGCTGACTGTGTGCCGACTACCCAAGCGTAACACTTCCAGATGGTTAAGCGTCGGGTATCGTCGCAGGGGTATACAAGGTGTCACTATAAGAGGTCGATATTCCGAGAGGGGATTTACCCCAATGAATAGCAACATCAACGGGGCCTCGGAAATTGTAGGCAAACAATGATTGCATGAGTGCAGATCGTGGGCTGTACACTCGCCGACTGATGGTTGACGATCCTCGAAGGGAAGCCAGCACCACCATAAAAAACAACCGACTACTGGCATGATCGCTGTAGTTATGGTAGCGATGAAATTTTCTGGTTGTTTGATGCTCTCTTGCCGTCCTTGTTGCCTCGGAATTGTTAGGCAGAAACTATTCCTACCATAGTAGTGTGCAGTAGAGAGCAACGGAGAAATTTATGTCTATTTAGTATCGATGCACAAGTCGGTATTATGGTCAAGAGCCCAGATGCGTCGTAAACTTGACAGTTTCACACCTGTCTAGGCTACAGAGAATATCAATATGTCGTTTTACGACCACACATGTCTGACAACGAAACGGTCATACTCGTGAGACCAGAGTATTGGAGCACTCAAAATCACACGACCTAGGGGGACCCGGCAAAAAGTGCACACAGTTTTCCACCCCCGAGAGCCCTTCCCGCTCCCCGTTTCACCCTCTCTGCATCCTGAGAATTTTCGTTCATACTGCTACGAAGACATGCGCATCGCCACCGCTACAAGATTTTTTTTTCCGGAGCGACCGAAGATTTTTGTTATGAGCACTCCTGCTGGCGTGTAAGAGGGAACAAAGACACCCCACCTCTCCGTCGTCGTCGTTGCCGTCATCATCGCCCTCCTCCCCGTCTCCATTGTCCCCGTCCCCTTCTTCTGCGGTGCCATCCACTACCAACTCCTCGTCCAGGCCGATGAGCTCCAGGGCACCCACCGTCGGTTCCTCCTCCACCTCGCCCTATTGGGGAATGATTGATGTCGCATCGTATCATGTGCGGCAGGACATGGCGTGGCATGGAATGGCACCGTACGATGTGGTGCGGTATGATGGTTAGAGTGCCCGGGTTTGTAAGACCGGTAATAGTTGACCGGTCATGATTTTTGGCTACAGTCAATGATTTCGACATTTCACGTACGTACTGCTTGTGATGGCACCGACAAACCCGGTGAAGAAAGTTCTTTGTGAGGTCGAACAAAATTACATACACTTTTCAGATAAAACACGCGGGATAATACTTCATAAAAATAAATAAAACCAGGAGAAGAAGACGATCAAGACAGGACGATAGTCCCGAACTAGAGGCCTTGTGCCCCCACGGTTTGAATAAATTTATAATAGTACTTCTTCCCCGACGCGTTCGTGAATGATAGTTCTGAAAGATGACTTTCCAAAACTGCATTTGTTTCCGCCCGAATCGTCGCAATTGTTGAGACACGGCGATTCTTGTGGGGTGGAGTGTCTTCTCCCGAAATGGTATTTGCGCCATAACTTTCCTTACAACACGAATCGGGTGCTACCAATGGGCTCATTCGAACGTTGTTGACGACAGCTTCTCACGATTATATTGGTTCCCCTCAATTCGATGGGGAAGGCTACTCTTTTTATCCAGGCACCCGTATTGGCCTCACAAATGCCGGCACTGTAGTGTAAGATATCGTACGGGAAGGTGTGACGTCTGATGCCGGATAGCGCAGTATCAGTGTGTGCTGCCTCAAATTGAGCGGGACATCAATAGGCGTTGGATACAATTTCGTACACGCGGTGTGTGGCATCGCACACACGGTGAGGTATCGTGCATACGCAACTCGTTGACGGTGGCTTGTGGATGTCACGGGCACCATAATGGGCTGTTACTGGACTTCTCTTGTCGCGATAGACCAGTTAGTGGTCCTCAACAGCTGCCGTCGGTCGACCATTCTCGTGCCTTACAGTTGACCGTAGGCTACAGTCTTGTCACGAGCACAAGTAAGCAACATCAAGAGGCCATCGCAGCAACGCACAAACGACAAACGACAACGAAAACAACAACGGCAACAACAACAACAACAACGACAACAACAATAACAACAGCAACAACAACAACAACAACAACAACAACAACACCAATGACACCAGCAACAATAACAACAACAACGACAACGACAGCAGCCGGCGTAACATTCGTTCGCACCTCTTCGACCGTGGCCTGAATGTCGGTCAGCGACTGCAGGAGGAGCGCAATCTGCTTGTGCTTCAGTTTCTGCACCGCCTGCACCGCCTTTCGCCTCTCGTGCAGCAACACGAGCTCCTGCTCGAGCTTCTCGATCGCCAGCTGAAGCACCATAAAAACAGCAGCGTTCATGTACCCAAACGCTCGTTGTTCGATACGGTAGGCAGAAGGGCAGGCAATTCTGCATCGACATGTTTGCGCCGACCCGACAGCGGGCCTTCAGAACTAACGAAGAACTTCTCGTCATGGTACAGTAACCAACGCAGCTATTTTTACAGCACTGATATTTTCAGTAGTACCAGTGTTCGGATGCAGCAGCAGCAGTTTTCGATGTAGCGGTCACGTGAGGGATAAATGCGGTACAACAAGGCAGCCTCCCCCCCCCCCCCTTCAATCACGGTACTTGAAGGATAGTCGATTCCCGACGGCGACAAGGTGGTCGCTGAGCGGGAAAACTTGCCTTCGTCGCCCTGTGCGGAGGGTACTTGTTGATATCCTTGCACGTCTCCTCGTACACCTCCTTGTTGTGCCTCTTCTTACGCTCTACCACCAGGCCCTCCTTCAGTGCTCCGATCTCCTCCTGCACGCCCTTAATGCTCTCCTGTAGGGCGTGCAAGAAATTATTACGAACAACACGGTACTCTTTTGACGCTGGTTACTCCTTCCCCGCATGATGTTGCACATAGCAATGGTGGTGCTGCTGCAATTATTGGTACTGGCATTGTGTGTTACTTAACGTACACGAAGATTCGGTAACTGCATGTACAGGTTGAGGCATACCACCAAGGCTGTGTGGGTTCACCTCTCACTCTACGTGGTCACCAATGAGACACGTAAGAAAGCAATATCACCACTTTCCGTCACTTCGAGGTCTGCACGCTCTTGGTTTCCTTAGGGAAACAAAAACAAGACGCCCCTTCTGTACAACACGATGAAATCACTACCGCTACCCCCGGAAATTTGATCCAAAACAAATGATGGCGGCTTGTTTCGGAAAGTGGTTGATTCGGGGAAAACGCGCGATATGGCGATATGTCTCTCTCCATCAGCAAGTTGGGTTCGCCCCTTGGCCTAGACTGGTGGAGCTGGGTGGAGCTGGGTTCCGCACCTCGATCTGATCCCGCTGGTTGCTGTAGTCCTCGATATCCCGCTCGCTCGTTTTCTCGATGGCCTCCGCTTTCCGAAGCTGTCATGCATAGCAGTAGTTTCAGGAGAACCACCCACGCCGGGAGGTTGAGCAGAGATGTCACGTGAAGTCACCACGAGTCTCTAACGATGTAGTGCGGCAAAAATCCCTCGGGACTTCCGTAAGAGTACCAAACAAGATTTCTGAAAAGAGCATCAAGTGGAAAATATGTTGTACGACCTCCGTAGGTTCTTACCCCGGATGGGCATGACGATTCCTCAGGAATGGGGTTTAAACAGACACAATAAATTTCAGTATCCAACAAATGTCGCGCAACCCATACTGCAAACACTCCAACACAGGCGCCGTTGCACTTTCAGCCAGTATACGACAATACTGCTGGGCCCTCTGTTATCCACAAAAGAACATGAACAACACGACGTGCATAGCCGAATAAAAAAGGGAAAAAAATCAAGCTTTTCTCGATAATGTGGCGTTCGCATGAACCCGGTGCTACCTCGAAGCCGTAGGTGCGAATCTCCTTGATGGCTCCTTCCGCGGCCTCCCGGACTTCTTTCTCCTTGGCGGGGTCACGTGTTCTGGGGCCGGAATTTTCTAAATCTGGCAACACCAAGGTCAGAAAAGCCTGAGAATTTGATTGGACAACGAGAAGAGAAAAACACAGAGAAACGAGAAAGAGAGAAACAAGAAAGAGCGTCGTGTGAGCTACGGCGGACCATGGTCGAGGCAAGCGATAAGCACCACAACAATCTGTGAGAAGAGATTGCAATCGGAGGGGGCCTGACGACATGGGTCCTCCATTAAGCGGCGGCGACGCTCATAATATCCAGCAAACCAGCTATTAATCGCAAGACATACGTGTCGCCGTCGTACTTAGCCGAAGGAAACAAACATACGCGTGAAAAGGAACAAGAAAAATGTGAGGACTGACGCGAGAAGAGATTCTGCAACAACCCGCGAGTGTGCACGCACACGAAGTCGACTCTATCGATAGCACTACAGTACATACATATATGGATCTTTCCGCGACTCGCCTGAAACTTGTGGTTGCACAGGTAGGAGCTCGACACCAATCTTGTGTTGTTCTCCCTGCCGCGAAGCCGCTCCACCAACACGTCCACCGGCGGCACCTGCATGCTGCCTGCCTTCCACCTCGTACCCCTTCCCCGACTCCCCTCTCTCTCTCTCTCTCTCTCTCCTGCCTTGCCAAGTCCCCTGTCCAGAGGGTCGCGTTTAGCTTTCCTTCCGGTGCCGAAGACCGCGAAAATATGTTGTACCTGATGCCTTGTGCTTTCTAGCTGCCAACCCTTGGTTCCCACCGAGATCCTCACGCCACGATCACCTTTGGCCGCTGGGCAGCTGGCCGGGGCGCAATATCTGGGCTGGTTTCGCCTCCTGGTGTCTCGATCTGTTGTGTTGTTCCTATGTACATGATGGCGTGCGGGATGGTGTGGCAATGAACCGGTGGAAGGGTGTTGGATATACGTGTACGCAGGCGGCAGGCGGACATGACCGGGGAACCGTAGTAATGCTGCAAGCACATCGCTGGCAAAGGGCGGGTGGTCGGCTGAAAATGCAAGCACACCGCCATTCGCTCAGGTATGAACTTCGCGCGCGATCAATCGTCTCACCCCGCACACCCCCGCGCACCCGCGCACCAAAAATTAGGAGATTGCCCCGCATATGTTCGATGTGTGCGGTTAAAAATTGAAAATTGAAATGTTGAAACGTTGCAGGCTATCCTACCTTATCTTCCTTCCAACATCCTTCTGCACATCCATTGAATCCAACGATCTACAGTCAAGCATCGCGCACCACGTCGCCAACGCCCTCTTGTGTTTGCTAATGGCCTAGCGAACAAGTCACTCTTCCGACGGAACACCATCCTGACAAAAACAGCCGCGTGCTGTACCAATACTCCGTCAATCTCTCAGTTATCTCCCAGAGATTTCAAGCAAAACTCCATGAACGTGGACCCACCTCGGTGCGCGTAGCTGTCGTAGGTGACACGAGAATGGCAGTGAGTAGCAGTGGCGCCGTGCACAAGGGTCTTGTACAGGCAAATCTCAAATCTCAGCAGGGGGCACTGCACATGGTGTTTACCACATGGGTCCACTTTTCTTGATTCGACGTTCCCCCTCCCTTGCGTTGCCGTGTGGCGCGCGCTGTCATCGCCGCTGACAACAAGACGAGAGATACTGTCAACTATGGTGAGAAGAGGGTCGTGCGCCGGAGCGTGCGTGGTGGCATGCGTCCTCGCGGTTGCACCCGCACCATCCGCGGCATTTCTGTCCTCCCCACGCCTCGCCAAGGTCGGAGCGTCAAGGTCAGTGCAACCAGAGACACACACAAGCGACGCAGACTTGATCATGCTTGCCTTGCACACCCGAGACACGTCTCAACGGCCGTGTAGCTCTCTGGTTAGCAGGCGTAAGCGGTGTTATGTCTGCGGGCTGAGCTGGATAGGCCGATCGGCATGTTTGTGTCTACCCTCCAAATATTTTCTGATGCTTCACTTGGTCCTTCGGTCAGCAACAGCCCCCCAACGAGAAACGTGCCCAACTTGAGGTCGTGGGCCGTCTGCAAACATGTGTCAAACTCACGGACACATTGCCCTCGGTCGCCGTGGTGGACTGGCATAGATGTTGCGGCGTGGTTGGTATTTGTCTAGGTTGCTAAGAGTTGCGGTGGCATTTGGCCACGCGTTGGTTACAGCGACTCGTGCATGTGCCTGTTTGACGCGTGGCTACGCAAACTGTACCCGGCGCTCTTCACTTGTTTTTAGAGAGGAGCGACCAGCAGGGCTGGTACAAGGAGCAGGATTGTCGCATCAACGCGAGCTACAGCAGTAGCTATTGTATACGACGACGTGTACAGTACTCTGAAGACACATGTTGTTGATTGCCGGATGGCAATGCAACGGTGCTACTATGACTGTTGGGGCAGCTCCTTGTCTACACAACAGCAGTACCCCGGCCACCGTGGTCCGCGTGAAATCTACATTTCCATGCCTCCTGACGGCAACCTCACTTTTATGCATATAGATAGCAGACTGGTCCGGCCGAGACGCCAGCAGGAAGCACTGCTTGTTTGTTGGGTTACCCGAAGTGCGGACAAACGTACATGTGTGCTGCCGTTTTTTTAAGTTCGATATTGCTCCACGTCCAAAGAGAGTGCTGTGTGCTGTCCAAACCCGATCGACACGTGCGTGGACAGACAGCTCTCACTCGACGAGATCTTGATCTTCCCACCAGGCGCAACCCTTTTTGTCGTCGTCGGGTTGTTGGGTGAGGAGCAAATCGAGCAAAATCATAGAAATCGATCGATCGCACGCCCGTGCGTTCGCCCTCCCGCACTCTTGCACTGTTTGTGCCCACCTTCTGCGTGGTGTGCGGTCGAGAAGAGCTATTTAGGTGCGTTGAACTTCGTGCATTTCCGAAAAAATCTTCCGTATGCCTCTCTCATTACTGATGACTTGTCAAAGGAGTACAAATAGCACGTACCAGGTGCAGACGCGAGTCAACATCGGCCCGTGCCCAAATTTGCAGAGCGCCCGTACATTGGGTCACTCGGAGTTGAGAGCGGTCAAATCGGCTCGACATGGCTCGTAGTTTACATCTTGTAACATGGCTTGTAACGCCCTCACCTACAAGGCCCGCTCCAGAAATCTGAGGCCCCTGCTTGCACCGAATTCAGCATAGGTTCATCGGAATTGGCCATTATCGCGGGGTGCGGGGACGCCGACGTAGCTAATTGCTAGTAGTCACCCTTTTTTTCTTGAGTCCGGCCTGATGAAATGTTACCTCTCAGTTCAAGCAGTCCATTGATGTGTTCGATATACTGAATTAATTGTGTCAGGTTCCGGGCCCGGTCGGGTACATTTACACTGCTATCCCCGTCGACGGAGAATATGGGGATGCCCATGCTCTGGATATGATTCCTGTCTGACAGGCTTCGACGTTGGTCTTTACTGTTGTACTAGCGGGACGAGCCAAGGACGGGTGAATGGCGGGAATGAGAAGGGCGGGCGTGGTCACCCCGCCCCCCGCGCGCAGGCGTTCTACAGTTTTTGCACCACGCAGCGAAGGAGTGGGGAATCCGCTATCTCATGTGTTCGGTGCGCCTTCTACTCTGTTTTGTTCCCTTCTTGCCGTCCGTTTCCAGGTCAAATGGGGCCAGGGAGGCAACGCGGACGGGAGCGATGCACATGTCGGGGTTACCCGCGGACTTTGACCCGCTGTCGCCCAGCATGGACCACTTGTCTATGATCGACCAGGCTAGCAAGGGGCGCTCTCAACCAAGCGTGAGTGGTTATGTCTTTAGATTTTTCGTTTCGTGAGTTTCCCTGATTCTCGAGCTGTTTTTCGTGGTGGCCTTACTTTGACATGATGCCGATGCGGGTGTACTCCCACGCGAGTGTGGACTACCTTGCGGGTATTCTGAAATATTCAAGTGTTTTGTTTTCTTTTCGTCTTAACTTCAAATCAGCGCTCACAGCACAAGTGCCGTTTACTCTAACCCGTGGTCACACAGAAGGACCCGTCTACGCTCCCCTCCTGCGGTAGGTTGCCTTCGATTTGTAATGCGAAGAGTTCAGCACTATCTTCCCTCTGTGTACACACGAACTAGCGCTATCCACTAGGCCAGGAGCGGAAGCGAGGGAAAAACTCACTTTGCAAGAAAAGCTCGCTTACGCCAGGATTCGAGCCCCTGACCTGATCCCTAGAAGGTTTCGAGGATACCAACTAGACCACCGGGGCGAAGTGTAGATCCGCTATATCTCTGGGACACCTGCCAGCCACCTGTTATGGAAGCATCACCTCCACAGTGTTCAATGCTCTCGTGGTCTTAGTTTTGTCTCCTGGTTTTTCGTTGTGCTTACGAAGAATAGCGCTGAATATAGTTTTCTCTGTTTTCCTTGCACGCGTCAGATTACTGGGGCAGTGGAGAGGAGTGCTTCAACTCTGTGTTGTACGTGGTGCTTGAACAGCGCTTCAGATAAGCGCGAGTGCAGCAAGCGATGGTGCCTATCCGTATGAATTTGCTTTCCTCCGTACGGGACACGGGCGTCGGTGCGCATCAACGGCTATTTTATTTCCGTCTTGTCTTTCGCTTTCCTCAGATGTTGCATGGCAAGGCGTCGGATACGTCGCGGTTCTATGTACGACGTCATCCTTTCCCAACTTGTTTCGACATAGGATCGGACGTTCAGCGCCGAAGTGGCCGTAGTTCATGTTGCTTCTGTTTCGTTTGTTGAAGCACTCCTGATGATGATTGCGGATCACGGACGTACTTTCGGTTCCCTCACAATGTTTGTTTTTTGTGTGTTTCCGATTGTCCTTGTGAACGTTGTATGTATTCTAGATGATCGGGGGTGCGGGCGGTGTGACCGAAGACAGGAACACGGACCTTGACGGGGCGAGGGTGGGACCTCCTCCTGACCTACCGTCGCTGCTGCTTCACAACCGCATCGTGTACCTCGGGATGCCCCTCGTGCCGGCGGTGACGGAGCTCATCATCGCGGAGGTGAGGCTTTGCATGCTCGGTTAGATGACGGCTTGTTGGTGGTGGTAGTGGGAGTTGTGGCGGTGACATTGTTCGTGTTGTTTATTGTTGTTGGCGGTGGTAGTGGCGTCGTTGTTGCTGCTGCTGTTGGCGGTTGCTGTGTGTTGAGAAACGTGTTGCTTGTTGTTGGTGGTGGTGGTGGTGGTGGTGGTGGCGGTGGTGGCATTGTTGTTGCTGTTGCTGTTGTTTATTTTTCTTACTGTTGATCAACAATCTTGTTGGCGTTGTTGTTTCTGGGGGCGGTGGTGGTGGCAGAGGTGGCGTCACCGGTGGCGGTTGTTGAACGCGTAATTTACCGTTGTGGTCGTGTTGCCGTGTCAATTTTCCTTTTCCTTTACGCGAGTGCTACACAAACTGCCTTCGACATGCTGCGTTCTACTTGGCGATGAAACGTGTCGGAGCGTGTCTATGCCTTGTTGGTGGAGCGAATTTGTGTGCTATCGCTGCTGTGACTCTTTCGGAGCTATGTGCACCTGTACAGCAGTGTGCTGCTGTTCCACGAAGAAAACGGATATTAGCTTGAATCCTGCGTTGCGAACGGTTCTTCCCTTAATGTCTCCACTCAGCACGACACTCAACTTGGTCCTTTTCTTGCTGACGCTGTGCCAAACGTGTCTCGATGCGATTCGATCACAGCTGCTGTACCTGAACTACGAGTCAGCCTCCAAGCCGGTGTACATGTACATCAACACGCCGGGCACATCCACCCCCGACGGTCGCGCGATCGGATTCGAAACCGAGGCGTTCGCCATCAGCGACTGCATGAACTACATCAAGCCTCCGGTGTACACCATCGGAGTGGGGCAGGTCGGTACCCCCCGCCCACCCCCCGATGTTTTTCTATTGGCGTTGCATTGTGCAAGTGCCCGTTAGCGTTCGTCGGTTATAAATCCTTTCTGGGGTTGCACGTGAGTGTGTACCGTCAGGAACGTCGTGTATGTGTTTTCGTGTTGAGCTATAATATCATTGTTTCAGCAACAAGCGTGGGGTCATTTGTCGAAACAGTCCGGCGAGTTGTCTCAGCAGAGCTCGTGATCAATGCTTCCGCGCACCACGGCTCCATTACACACACCCAGCACCGGAGTCCCGCCCCCGGCAGGCATATGAGTGTAAGCCTCAACGGCTTTATCAAATATTATGTCGCGTACGTTCCAATCTAGTAAAACGTGGTGGACCGGGTAGGGATCGGGTAAGTTACCCTGTTACCATAGGAATCGACCGTGTCAAGTGGCAGATCAGTACGGACAGAACCAGTTACGGGCAGAGAGATCGGAACGGTTTGTAATGTGAAGACATTAACCACAACAGCATGAACAACCGGATTGTTGTCCATTGCTTGGTCAGGCGTTCGGGCTGGGGGCCATGCTGCTTGCCTCGGGGGAGAAAGGGCACCGTTCGGCTCTGCCCAACGCGAGCATCATGCTCCACCAGCCGCGCAGCATGGCGAGGGGGCAGGCGTCGGACATCGCCATCAAGGCCAAGGAGGTGCAGTGGCTCTCGATCATTTTATGATTGTCCCCGCTACAGTAGTATCTTCAGTCGATTTCCCTGCCGTAGCACCAATATCACCATGTCAATTTGCTGAACTTTTTTTTGACATGCATATACTCTCTGACTGCCGTTTGCGTGCCGGCTATGTATTGCGTAGCGAAGTTCTATTTTAGCGTCGGAGGGCTTTTTTTTCAACGTCTGACGGAGCCACCAAGGTCAGCAAGACCAGTGGCGAACATTGATAACATGAACGATAAAAACAGCAGGACGACTCAACAATACACGATCCTGTTACCTGTGTGGGTCGTGGTGAAAGTAGATTCTACAGCTATTCGAATTTGGTACAATACTCTAGCCTTTAGGTAAATGAATGGTGAGGACGATTGCACGTTGACTGCTTTCCGCCGCGTGAGCTGTTGCAGCGACGGTAGGGGACAGACTTAGCCGTCACGGTCAGAGAAGGCCGCTAGAGCAACGTCAAAGCTGCTGTCCCGAGAGATTTTCCTCACCCTCATGACCAGTTGGACTTGTGTTGCGCCGCTGTAATTAACCCACACCAGCCGTAGTATTCTTCCTATCTACCACTCAACATGTTTGAGTGCTGACGACATTGTTGCTGCTGTTTCTCGCGCCAACCACTGCTGTAGACCATTAAGAGGATGAGCGTCGCGGTGTAATATGGAGAACGCCCAGAACAACACGCCGCATTCCTTGTTCGTTGACCAAAACAAACCCATTTGGTGCGTGTATTTCTTGGTGGTGACGACCCAGGTAATGGCCAACAGGAAGACGGCGACGCAGATGCTTTCGGAGGCATGCGGAAAACCTTACGACGAGGTCCTCGAGGACTCGTCCAGAACGTTCTACATGTCTCCCGACGACGCGGTAGAATACGGCCTCATCGACAAGGTGAATTGATTACGTATTTTGGCCGTTTCCCTGTTGCGCTCTTCTGACGGTATTTATGGGTTATTTTGGCGCTATGGAGGCGTGCTGTGTTGTAGTAGAACAGGTTGTTTTCTTGGCCGAGGCGTTTTCTCAACCCCGTGTTATTACATTCATTTGTGTTGGTTTTAGATTTTTGATTGCACCGCACTCATAGGCACCATTACACGACCGCATATTTTGAGCAAGGACAGCCAAGGGGATATAAAGGGTTTTCTTTAGTTGATGTTACTGATGATCCTGCCCTTCTGCCATGTATTCCCCTTAAGTACCTTGCGGTCCGGAACATTGCAGGGTGACAATGTAGCGCGGCCAAATCTCTTCGCACCGGTTCGGCAGCTTTATCACTTCACCTTCCTTACCCCGAGAGTTTGAGCCTCTTCCTTATAGCGATTAAGCGGACTGTGACTTCACAGTATTCTCGAGGGATAAGTATTGCATGGTGCCTTAGGATATGTTAACGCCACACGTTGACGGCGAAAGTGAGTGGTTGTCTGTCATGTGCCTTCCGCGAACGACCATCTTATGCCAGTGCCGTGAGTCATTCGCCCCCCCTCTATTTATTTATTTTTATATAGTCCTCCTGCTGTTTTTTTTTTTGTTTGTTTCTTGTTCCCGAAGGTGTTGCGGTCGAGCAAGAAGGACGATGTCGTGGCGCCCGCCTTCCTCGACGCTCTGTCCATGGGCTCAAAAACAAACAGGCAGTCCTTGTACGAGGACTAGACCGCTAGCTACAGCAGTAGCCTGCTACAGCAGTGGTCTACTGCTGTTGTTGTCGAGTCCTTCCGTTGTCAAGAGCAGGCTGTCGGTCTGGTGTGCTGGTTGCATGACGGCCCCGGGTTCCCAAATGATTTTTGTCTGTGTTCCAGGCGGGGACAAGGGTCGCACAACGGCACCGGTTTGGGGACATGTTGGTTGCATGCATGCATTCGTTGTTTCTGGTTTTGTTGACTTTGGGTGAATGTCTGTAGGCGGGGAGCCGGCTGTTGTGTCGTGCCAGGGAATTTGGTTGACGAAAACTCGAGTTGGGGTTCTGCTGTTGTACGCACAGCAGCACAGCAGCTGCTGTGAGTGTTGTGAGACTACGTTGCAGGCGATGGACGATCTTGCCCTCACCAGAAGTGTGCAATCCTGTTGTTACGCAAAGGGCGGGATGACATGTAGAGAAAGCATTGTCGTGCACACCTTGATTCTAGATGCGACGAAATTTGCGCTCGGCATCGGCCTTGGCACTAGGTTCTCCCCGATATACAGCGTCCAGGTACCTCGTGAAGTGCTCCTTGGGAGGCATCATCGGCGCGGTTTGCATAACCTGTTGAAACGTTGGTGAAGCAAAAACGTGGCTTGAAACTGACAGAACTGCTGTCGTTAACCTGTTGTTTCGAATGTTTTGGTTTGAGAGCAAAGCTGCGGATGTATGGCAGTGTTACATGCTAAACATTAAACATGTATGGCCACGGCTGCTCCATTGCACCCCTCCCGCCGAACAGAGATGATCCGCCACCGCACGCTGAGCACGGCACACAGAACGGCATGGACATGAAAAAGGGTGTCACCAGACGTGCGTTGAGCCCGTTCCTAGGGATTTTTTTTATTGTTATGACGCCGACTAACCCTAAGCAAGCGAGATAGCCTTTCCGTGTCACAAAGCCGTTGAAGCGTTGGATTCTGGCAAGCGCCGTGCTGCCGTGCTTATGGCGGGGGGATCTGCTTTGCTATGCCAGAGACCGATTCAACGTCCGCACAAGCAAACAGATGTTTACGTTGCCAGTCTCTGTGCGGGGGCATATTGGTCCCCTGCCCACCCGCCCCCCAACTCCCTCGTAGTACATACAGTTTTACATCCCGATGAGTAACATCAACCGGAAGCCAAGAAGCACTGTTGCTTGGACGCTGGACGCTGGTACACTGCTGTCTGTAGGCTGCCTTCTTGCTTCTTGCCTTCGTTACAGGGAGGAAATGCGGAGATTCCGTTTCCGAAACGGCACGAGAACCTTCTTTTGTTTTTTAGGTGGGGCGGTGGGCGGTGGGCCGCAGCAGGGGCAGGGCCCGCTGCTTCCTCCAAAAACAGTTCTCTCTCCTCTCTCTCTCCCGTCTGCACAGGAATCGGCCAGCAACAATGAGCGCTGCCGCGTACGCGACCATCGATGAGACTTCTGGGGTAAGAAGCACTAGATAACTAGCGCAATGCGTATCAACAAGTAGGCACAGCAGCAACCCGTGTGCTCTCTCTGTTCTTTTTTTCGCAATCCTACATATACGGAGGAGGATGATTCGAAGTCAAGAAATTCTACTGCCACATTGCCTGCTACGCTGGATAAACTGCTGATGCCCCATTCCTACCGATCTGCTGTCAGCCACACGCGATTGTTTTTCCTCCGATACCTGGGCTGTCTTCGTTTCCGCAGCTCTTGTCTATCTTTTGTGCTTGAAATTCCGCGCATGGATTCAATCTTGAAGAAAAACGCGAGAGGCGCACCTACGCAGAAGTTCCGAGAATCACTCGGAGATGCGTTTGGTACATCGTGTATGTAGAGGATTCAGACAACACCGCAAGCCACCCTAGTGCCGGCCAGGCACCCTTCGACGTGGCTCGTACCGCTGCTGGCAGTACTATATGTCAACCCTACCTTTGGCTGATGCAATCTATGTACAGCAGATCGAAGCTGCTAGTTGTTCGCGAAAGAGGTCAATCCTTCCGATTCATGGGTTGCTGATATTCTCCTTTAGTTCTTCGTACTTCTAACGCGCACGAATGATAACTCCTCGCTGCCTCGCCACGCGCCTTCTTCCCGGATGGCCAGAAGATTAATGCCGTGATTGGACAGCCTCAGTCTGCGGAGGCGGCGGTGAGTGATACTTCTATCCTTTAGACGTTGATTGGTCGAGATATGACAGCGTGCGCGAGAGACAGAGACAGAGAGGCAGAGAGAGAGAGAAAGAAGTCGGTGGCGTGCGGCGTGTTTTCTCGGACCGTGTGTACTCTGTCCACATGTAACACGGTGGATTGTCCTCTTTACATGCATGCCGGTTGTGCCACGTGTGGAAACGTGCCCGAGTTGTGATCTGATGTATGCGTATGGTACCTCCGCGCGATCACCAACGACGATATTTACTCAGATCAACAGCGAACTTCCACCGCGTACGACGCTCTTCGTGTGCCTTCCTTCTTGCTAAAAAATAACGCTGCAGCCCCTCGTCGCCCCGCCTGGAGCGCCCACCGTGGGGATGTGGGTAGAAGAGCGCTACTGCGGGCTTACCACTTGGCTCATCACCCTCGTGGGAGGCCTCCCGTGTTCGTACTTCTGCCCTTGCGACCGCAGGACGGTGTGGGTCAGCGGAGGAGTCAAGGTCGGTCTTGACGTCTTGACATGATTGATGGGGAAAACAAGTACGGAACATGCCCGCGCTTACTTTACCCTCCTATGCATACAAGTAGTACTGGAAGCCCAAATGGGGACACTTTGGGGACAGAGCACTCAAACGCCTCTTTATACCGCACCATGGTCGTCATTATGTACTGCACTGTACTATGCTCCGCTGCGTGAAACGTGTGCGTGCGTGGGAAAACCTTGGTCTAACATGTTTGAGTGATGTGGTAAGCTGTGTGATATACTGCTGTGTGATCCCTGTGTGCCTCTTCTGGGCCTCTGACTTGCTGTACGCAATAATATCCCAAGCCGCGGGTCCCCGTTTGGTACACTGTAAATGTACATAGCCTAGTACTGGAAAAAAATGCTGACCTCGCTTCAGTATAGACAGTGTCGCCAGTGCACTTGGGGACACTTGCCATGCTGAAGTCAAGTCAGCCTTCGGCCGTCAGGACTGCTGTACAGCCTCGCCCAATGACCGGACGCGATTTATTCTGGACCCATGACCTGTAGCTAGCCGGGTACTAGAAGGGTTAAGAACCTCTAGTTTTGGCCGACGCTGGAGTTCTTAGAGTCATGCTATGAATGGCCGTCATGTAGGTTTTAGTATAGAGGTTCTCAACCGAGCTCACAAATGGTACTCAAGCTGTCATATTTGGAGTTTATTTAGGCTGTATGTCTTTTAACTGGTTGTAACTGCCAGGTTCTCAAGTGCGGGCGCTCTCTGTAGTGCAAGCACACGGCCTCGCTTGATTTTATCCTTCTGTAGTTTTCGTTTTGATAACGACTGGCATGCAAGACGCAGCAGCATGAAATACCACCGCGCACGCCGTTGTTGGGTGGACTATTGTTTCGGTGTAGGGGTTTTCCTCGGCTCGACTGCTGTGCATTATGTCTAGTTTTTTGCGCACAATTCAAGTCGTACATGTCTCTTAATAACTTACTTGTTGTTGCAGTTCCATCTCTATGTCTCTTAATAACTAGCTGTTATTGCAGTTCCATCTATATGTCTCTTAATAACTAACTGTTGTTGCAGTTCCTTCTCTTCTTGCTGCTGCGGCGGTCGCGGCTTCCTATCCGATCCCCTCTCCCCGCAAGCTTCGCATCTTGACTTAATTCCGAAGCTCGGCAAAGCAATCAGCCGCTATAATAGCATGTTGTGCATGGCATTTGCTACATACCAGAGGTATCCTGCCTGGTCGTGCGCTTTGTGTGTTGGTAATTACTTCCTATCATTTCCTTCTTTTCCTTCTGTTCTCTCGTTCCCCCGACCCCGTCCCTTTTTCTTTTTTTTCCAGTACAACGAGAAGGGAGCCGTGACCGACGACTACCTCTTCCTCAACCCCTGCCCACCGGGAAGCACGTGCCACCCCAACCCCACCGCCTAACCTGAAGGACAACGCCTCCTTGTTCCAAGGGGATCGGGGACACGGCGTCTTGGTCGAAATCAACAACGAACTCATCTTTTGTCGTTGTTGTTTCGTCAACGTCGATCGCCAGATCTTGCCTCTCTTTGGAGCATCCAAGATCAACACCAAAAGCTAACCGTTTTTCTTGAAATACTATATATATCTGCCGAGTACGATAGGGTTGGTACCGAGGGAGGGGTGATAATTGTTGCTGGTTTTGTTGACACGATCCTTTTATGGATGCCTTGCATTTTTTATGCAAACAGAAACGAGACCCTAGCCCGGGTACGTATTACAAGTGTCAAGTCTGGCGTTTAATTAATTAATGCCAGGTTCTTTTTTTCTAGACAAGGAAGAATGCAGAACCCTTGCAAGACCAGCCAAAGGTCATTTTCAAGGCTTTGTATGTATATGAATTGGCACACCTTTTGCTTCACATGTTCAGTTTTTTTGTAGTACAGTATCACCCTCCTCATGGAATATCCCTGTTTTCCGTTATGGCCTGATCCTTACAGTGTGAGGTGTTCCTTACACCCTTCCTTACTTTTATGGAGGATACATACATACCGAATATTTTCTTGGTTCTTCCCCCTGAGTTAGAGGCGCTCGCCCCGGCTCTGTACCTGCAGGCCAGGGGTCCTGCACTGCTATAGGCATTGGTTGATCTCGTGGCCGAGAGATCCCGACATTATAAATTGGATTCCTTTTGTCTGTCTGAGTGGACCCGTGATGTTCCTACGTTCAACGAGCCATGAGAACTGTCATCCTTGCATGCATGCGTGCTGCACCATGATGCCGTGCTTGCGAAAGAGAACCTGCGCGGCATGGTCGCCGGTTACATCCGACGCGAGCACTGCTGCTGTAGGCCAACACAGCTGCAACGTGTTTTATCGTGGTAGATTTTTCGGAACAGTGTCAAACGAGAAGAATGTTTGCTTCGCGAAGCACGAAACTATCAACAGTAGCCCATCGCTTCCTTTTCGCCACGTCCCAGAAAATTATACCTTTGCAGCCAGAGGTGGTGTAGTAGTGTGCCTGAGCCCCTTCTGCCGGTCTTCCTCTTTTCTTTTTTTCACGACGACGGCTGGCTCCAACATGTTTCCAGTGGGGATGAGTGTAAAGTGGTTGTGTCCTGGCGCTGTTGGACCGCCTCACAAACGACTGATATACTCGTAGTGGGGGGTTCGCGTTTGCCAGACTTGCACTGCTTGGGGTTGGCAAACCCGCACGTATCTCTGTCTAGATCTTGGTTGCCCCCCGAAAAGATGCGAATTGGCGACGGCAACTCGTTCCCCGACAAGCGATGTCACAGCATGCATGTACATGTTGAACGGGTGTTTCTTTTCTGATGACGTCAATGGCTACCCAAACAACACAACATTGCCATGTCATCTCTTCACCCTCTTTAGGAGTTCTTCGCAGTTTGAACATTATTTCATTGCTTTTTTTCGTCAAAAGTTGACACACTTAGCATTCACCCGTGAAAGAAGAGCGAGTGAACGCCTCCCGTTCCTGCATTTTTCAAACGTACCCCTCAACAATAGCGCCATGAATTTCACGGAACCCCCACACCCCTTGTACTCCTATGACATCCACCCTCACATTCACGACAGACACCCCTTCCTTTCCGAAGCTCCAACCCCATCCAACCAACACTGCTTGTTGCCGTGAACAAACGTCACACCAGTCAGCTTTAACCCTTGCTAATCGTGGAAGACATCATGACTCCCAGCCGGCGTTTTCGGCGAGAGCCGGCGTCCCGTGTGGGATGATTTTATTTATTGGTCTGGAACACCAAGACCCCCCTGCAAGAACGCCATCAGATCACTGGTGAAACCCCAGCCTTAACCTCGGGGTGAGACACAAGCTGCATGTCCCCCCCCCAGGAGCGGTGATAGGCTAACAACAACAGTAGTGTCACAGTAAGCCACCCTTCCGGGAGTTTTTTTTATAGTCTTCAAAAAAGAGGCAACGCACGACCACAAGCCGCGCATGTAATGTCATCGCCGAATATTACTAAACTACGGCATCATTGCAGCATGAGCCTGTCGAGGTTACCCGATACATACCATGGTATACAAGAAACATCGGAAAAAAAGGGTTTTTACGCGATAAATAGGGAACACACGACACCCTTTACGATAGATACTTCGCGGGCGTGAATCTTGATCTTACCACCCCGACCTGTCGTTCGGAGATCTCGTAGAATTTCGTACGTCACGACGGACAGCTGCTGCACAACAGCCTGCATCTACCGGGTGGGGTGGGACCTGGTGAGGGCACCATCATGGACAACGCCTCTTCAGGGGTAGCAAAGACCGGCATTCGGTGTAGTTACGCCGCATAGAAAAAAACAACCGGCAAAGAGAGGGCGGATAGAAAGCTTCCCACCACAACTGCAAGCACGACAACATCTACACCCTCTGCCATGCGACACCCCCTTCGACACACGGCTTGAAAGAAGCACGACTGACTCCCGGACCGAGGCTACAACATGGAAAAACAAAAAACATAAGACAGGGATAAGACCAATGGTCGGGGTGGGGTGGTACCACCAGTGCCAAGTCGTGTGTAAAGCCTTGAATCTCTCCTCCTCCTCCTCCTCCTCCTCCGAACATAAGAACCGTCCCGTGGAACCAACGGAAAAGCCGCAGGTAAACTTGACAATTTCTCGCAATTGTCCGATACCCTGCAGCCTCGTAACAATCTCCCCCCCTCCCAAAAAAAAATGTTGAAAAAAAGAAAAAAACGCGTAAAAAAAAGGCAAAAACGAACAAGAAGGTTTTTTCTTAACCTTCACCCACCATCATCCCGAAAACCCTACATGTACAGCATCACAAGAACGCCGATCTCCTAGATAAATAGCCATGGCTGCCGGATGGGTCGTTAAAGACGACTCACGAAACGCCGCAGCCAACTACCATCAAACTACCACTCCCGCGCACACAAGCGCTGCTTTCGGCAGAAACAACGCATGACCGAGTTGGTAAACGTTGTGCAGGGGAGAGAGAGAGCGGCAGAAATTAACCCCCCCCAGTTAAAAGTCAGCGTCCAATCGAAAGTTACGTCTGTCCTCCCCAGGCCCCCCGCCACCCCCCATTACTCCCGCCTTCTGGTACTCCCCCACCCTCTTCTCGAAGAAATTAGTCTTCCCCTGCAGGCTGATGAGGTCCATCCAGTCGAACGGGTTTTGCGTCCCGTAGCTCTGACAATTGCGGGAAAGCGAGGCAATCAATTTGTTCTCGTTATTAATTCCGTTTCAACAAATCCCGCGGCAACACCCACGGAGGAACAAATTTGCGTCTCCTGAACGTGCGTGAAAAATCATAAACTCGTTGCAAATTCACCGCCAGCATGCCGGGTTCAGCTGCTGCTCGATGGTACGGAAATCACCACAACCATATCGAAGAGGCCTCTTTTCGGAAAAAGACCGGAGGCATGTTAACTCGAAAAACGTTTCGTGCGATACTGCAACTTGCCTCACCCTTCCGTACAAGTACGAACACAAAGACATGGGCGACGTGAGAAATTGGAAGCGCAACGTAGGGCAAGAAACAATAACTTGAATAATGCGCGGTGCACTGTACCTTGCCGTATCCGAGAGACCCCAGCAGGCGGTCTGCCACGAACTCGATGTACTGCGACATCACGCCCGCGTTCATGCCGATGAGGCTGCAGGGAAGGGCCTGGCGCAAAGTTGAACACCACAAGCCAGAATAGCGATACCACCACCGGACGAGAAGCATGACGTTGCCACCGCCGCCACGCCATCGGGGGAAACGAGCGACAAAGACATGCAACGGGTCAGAGGAGGAGGCACGACAGCAGTCAAACCGTGACATACCGGCGAGGGATACCGTAGCGGAAGAAGTCGAGCAACAGGTAACACCGACGGCTGTGATGGCACAACAAGCAGGGGCCGCGGGGCTACCAAGCTTTCGCTTACGCGAGGAAATGGTCGTAGACAAGACGACTGGCTCGAGACAGAAAAGCGGCGCAATCGCGACCTACGTCTCGGCCCTGGCAGCCTCTCTCTTCACAAATACAACACAACAGGACCCCCCTCAATAAAATCAAATGTGCCCCATCGTGTCACCACCCTCCCCCCCCTCTCCCAACAAACACAACACACCAGGACCACCCTCCATAAATCATGCCCCCATCGTGCCACTCCCCCCCCCCCACTCGGCAGTCTCTCCCAACAAAACACGACACGACCAGGACCCCCCTCCATAAATCATGCCTCCATCGTGCCACTCCTCCCCTACCCCTATCTCACCCCACAGATGAAGCTCTTCTCGACCTCCACAGCCTCCCTCACGATGGCCATCACCGTCTCCCGGCTGGGTTTGTTCTCGAGGGAGGCGAACAGCTGGCAGGCGAAGTCGCAGTGCAGCCCCTCGTCGCGCGAGATCATCTCGTTAGAGAAGGTCAGGCCGGGCATGAGGCCACGCTTCTTCAGCCAGAAGATCGCGCAAAAGCTTCCCGAGAAGAAGACGCCCTAAAATACAATCGAGGGGGGTTGGGGGGCGTTAGCAATGGCAGTGGGTGGGGGGGGGGGGGGGGGG